TCTGGAGGAGCAGAGCAGCTGACAGGGAAAAACATCAGCTCAATCCACTGCTGCCTCATTGATTCTTCTGGGAGGTGTTTGAGCTTGTTTAGTCTGTGGGAGAAGCCTTAGGAGGTGGTGAAATGGGTTGGGCTGATGCCTCAGGGTTTAGATTTTGTATTTTTCACGTTCTGTGCTGCTTTAGTGTGAGGGTCTGGGCTCCATATTATGGGATGGTTCTGATGAGGGGCAGTTCTGAGCTCTGTGCACAGAGCAGGGAGACAAAACAATTCCTGCTCCAGCTGGGCACCAAGGACAAATGACCCAAATCTCAGCCCCAGAGCACAAACCCCGTGGGCTGGAGAGAGAAAAACAAGCAGGGTGGGACTGCCTGGGCTAAAGCTGGAATGGGACAATGAACTGCAAGGTGCAAATGGAGCAGAACTGATCCCAGGGACAGAGCCCGTGCCCGGCCGTGCATTTTGGGGCCATTTTGGTTGATCTTGGGTGCAGCCCTGGCTGGGCTCTGGTGCTGCCCAAGGTGGATCCATGGAGGAGATGCTTTGGATAAATCCCTGCTTTATTCTGGAACTCCATCCAGCCTCTGCTCTAGGGCGGCCTGCACAAGGCATCAGTTTCTGGTGACCCAGATGGGACCAAAGCCACAATCCCTGGTTTAGGGCACTCAAGGAATCTCCAGGCTTTTTGTAAGGAAAGCCCTGTGGAGAGCTGGGAGCTCCCACTGTCCCCAAAATGAGCTGGGAACTGGGAGGGAGGATGGAAGAGGGGAGCTGCCAAGAGAGAAGGGAGTCTGGTCATGCTGCATTCCGCTGTTCCCACCATTCCTGATATTTTTGGGTGATTCCTGCAGAACCAGCAGGTGCTTCCCAAGCACAGCAGACCCCATGGAGCAGCAGGTGCTGAGGTTTGGGGCTGGCAGGGCAGTCAGTGAGAAGAGGGCTGATTTCAGCAGGAATTCCTTGGATGGAGCTACAGTGGAGCAGGAGAAGCTGTCAGTAAGCTCAGGAGGAGGCACCATTATCTGTAACCCAAAAATGAGGTGCAGAATGGAGCAGCCACTTGGATATCCTGGGTTTGGGAGGCTGGGAAGGGAATTGTTTTATTTTTTGGGTGGTCTTTATTTTATATTTATTTATTTAAGCGAACCTTTAATTGAGACCCTTTAGAGGGAGTAGAAAGACAAGCTATGCATAACAAGATCAGCTCTTTAAAAATTTATTACAGTGATGCCATTTACGAGAGGAAATTTGATAGGCAATCATATTTTTCATGTTTAAATCCAACCAAAAAATTGACTGATTTTAGGCAATGTAAAGTGGTTTTAGAAGTATTTTTACATGGATTTTTAGGACCTGCCAAGCTGTAACTACAAAAGGTTTGAAAGCAGTTCATGTTGCATTTACTGCACTAAAACCCTGTTCAAACTTTTCTTTCACAAGCTGGAATATTTTATGCTTTTTAAGACTAAGAAAGCAAATCAGGATTAAATCATAGACTGGCTTGGATTGGACGGGACCTTAAACATCATCCCCCAATAAATATTACCTCAGCTTCATATACTGCTTAACCAAGCAGGTTTTAAGCTGGGACTTTAAATGAATATTCATTTTCTTTTCAGTTCCTTTTATTTTTTTCCTTTTTTTTTTCCCTACTCTGCAGCACAAAGGTTCAGTTTCTAATCTTAGGGCTGGCACAGGACTGTTGGCAGGACACCAACCTGCATAAGTGCTCACTGCAGGTGCAGGGCTCCTGGTTTTGGCAGAGCAGCAAACCAGACCATTCCCAGGGCCCGGAATTCTGGAGCCTTTCCCAGAGCAGATCTTCCACTCCACAATTACCTGGGGGGTCTGGAGTTCAGGAGTTGTCTTCATCAGATGATTTGGTTGAATTCAGTGCTTGGATTCTGGTCTGCAAAATTGCAAATGGGCACCTATTTGGAAATTTTTTTCTTAGTTATGTCCATGTTTGTGCTGAATTTCCCAGTAACAGCAAGTTTTTAGGGAGGAGGAGGATTAAAAACATGGCTGGACTCAGTTTCCAACCAGGATTTTCCAAGAAATGTTCTTTTTTATGTTTACAAGATCAGATCTTTATCATGGAAATGCCACGATGCCAGAAGATGATTTCCCTATATCTGGCAGGAATCCTCAAAACCCTTTGATTTCAACTGATTATTGCTATTTTGTTCTGGATTTTAATCAAAACCTTTTTAAATGGAGACCATACCAGCCAGCCCCAGCTCATCCTGAGTGACATTTCCAGCTCCAGCTCTGCCTGTTCATGTGTGGAAGTTTGTGCCCAGACTCTGTGTAGACCCAAATGGAAGAAGAGACAGCACCACAGTCAAAACTACTTGAAAATGGGTGTTTTGCTGCTCCTTTCTGCAGGCTGCTGCAGGGCTCTGGTAACCATCTCCCAGTGCTGCAGGCACAGCGTTTGTTGTGTGGATTCTCACTCAGTAAAATGTGTATCAAACACTGGCACTTCTGGTGCCATTCATATTTATATTCAGTAATGACTCAGGCTCTTGAAAAATCATGCTGAAATTATATGTTCCGTGGCTTTAATTTCCTCTTGCTAACAAGGGAATGATTTGCACTCT